TGGACTAGATGATCTCCAGAGGTCCCTTCCAAACCTAAATGATTCTGTGATTCTGTGATTCTGTGAAATCATACACAAAGTTGAGTTTCAACTAACAGTCACCAAAAAGGCCGGCAGAGTATTTCTGTTCATTTAAGTTTCCTGGCAAAGATGTGTTTGCTGACAAAGATCTTAGCAAGATAGGTTTGGGTATTCTTCAAAGATGCTTTAGATAAGGACACTGCTATTGTTTGTCTGGCCATCTTTGTTTTTGTTTAGCGCAGGTATGTTTTCAGTCATATCACTCTACTGCTGAGACCAAACAGCCCAACTAACCACAGAGATCGTCCTTAAATGGGCTGGTACCAAATTGTGAATCGCCCGGCTCATTCTGCAGTTGCATACAAGGCAAAAGTCATACAAGGCAAAAGCAAAAGTCCTAGTTTGTTCCTGCAAATGATCTGCAGACAAAAAAATAACTCTGAGGATGAAAGTTCATCCATCTCACACAACGGTTGTTTTCTTTTTTCTTTAACAGCTGGATTTCTTTCTTCTTTCTTAAGCTGTTCCTAGTCTAATAAACAATTTAGAGGAATTTTGTGCTACAATGCCATTTTCTCAAGTGTCAACACAGGAAATAACAATACGTGGTATATCACTGGCCACTTTTCAGTGCTCACATTTTTTCAGCTAGACTATAAAGCAACTCGTTTGTAAGGGAAGTAGAGATTGCTCGTGGGAAGATGAGCAGTGCTTCCGTCTCCTGAATGCCGCTGCGCTTGGCTCCTGAGGCACTTGTGCTGTTTTGCATTGCAGTCAGGTAAACCTGTTCACTCAGTGAGCCAAATAATGCTCCCAAAGCCAGAGTAATGATCTAGTTTTGTTCACTTAGTTCACCTGAAGGGAAAGTCTGGCTTCCGGGGTCAAGGGAAAGATGATCAGTTCTGACATTTTGCCAACCTGAGGCTGCAATGACCTCCACGGACCCAGGAGTCTGCGCCAGAGACAGGGGCAAAGCCTACTGTGAGAAGACAGCCCGGGAAGGATTTCACTCTTCTCTTGTGCACACTCAAGGGCCAGCGTGATGAAGCACTCCCGTGCTTCTGCTAAATCGTGATAGCATGACTGTAGCTCGCCCAGCGACTTCACCCTGGGATTGCACCAGTGTTCAGGTTCCCAAGAGTTCCAGCAGCTTGTGCAGTTCTGCTACTGCGTGAGATTTCCTGCATCTTCATCTATGTTAAAACACTGGCATACACAGCCAGCCCATTTTCCTCCTTCCCTGATTTTTGCCATCAGAAAAAGGGCTGCAGCCACGACGATCGTTTGTTCTGACAGGCGTTGCTGTCTTTTTAAGATAAAAGCTGCAGGTGTACATGTGCACGGAGGGACTGTTATATTCTCATTGCTGTTAGGGGTACAATACAACATTCTCGCTAGTCTGATCGTTCAAAGAAACGCAGGATTTGGTTTGCTTCAGAGTGTGAAGGCCAATTTTGGCACAGCTTGCATAACTGAAGGAGAAAAAAGTGTAATGATCCTCTGGTTAATGTAAACTGCAGGCTGTAAGGGGCAGACAGGAAGAAGCGTATTTTTGCAGCCACGGACGAATTCTCTAGGGCTGTTTCCACTTGCAGCTTCTATTACCAGCACTGAACGACGAAACGAGAGCATCTCTTGGGGCAGAGGGAGATGTGTTAGGTTCCGGTCTAGAAGATCCTTTTCTTTGATAGCCTCTCGCATATCTCCCGTTACACTTAGCTTAGCTTAGCTCATTCTATCTCCTGTTACTCTCCTGTTATGCAAGCTCATTTTGGGGCAGTGTGGCCAGACTACGGCACCCTATGGAGCCAAGTTCACCGTGCTTCGTCCACTCTCAGGCATCCACGCCTGCCCTCCTGCTTCAACTAGTCCAAACGGGCCACGCAGGGCAGCTAACCTGGGTTTGCATTAGCGTAACTAAAACGCAAACCCGAGCCCAGTTCTCCCCTAACCTCCCTCCTCGCCCCCCCACAAATGAGCAGCACGTGGCCAGGAAAGATAGATACTCTTACAATAAATTCCTGTCTGGATTTTCCTCTGGAGGTCTGCTTAACAAGTGCCAGTATCTGTAAAAACTATCACTATGAAATGCGCCAACCGGAAAGGAATCTACAGAAAAGGAAGCGAATGAAGCGGCTGGAATTATTTTAGCATGGAAAATGTCTGAATTCAACCTAAAGCGCAGACACTGCTTCTCAATTACAGCATTAGCCTCCCTAAAACCAGCAGCTGCTTGGGGAGAAGGCAATTCCTAAGCCTCTGTCTGTGGTTTGCTGAGGACAGGGCTTCCAGGGAGAGCTGTCTGGGGCTGCGTCATTTGGCCTATCTGCAAGGCCTCTTTTTGGAGGTCGTTTGGGGGAAAAAAAAACTGGTGCTAGGATTATTCAAAAGTAAAAAGCCTTTTTTATATTATTTACCAAAGGTTTACGGCTGGGACAGTCAGAGGTGATCCTACAGTGGCAAGGCAATCGTGGCAACCCCTCCAACAGCGCAAGTGCCCGCTTCAGGTTAATGGGCCCCGTTTTGGCTTCAGGTTAACCGGGAATGCCCCTGGCCTGGAATCGAGCCCAGCAAACCAGAAACCAGACATGCTCCTCCCACCAGTGCGCAGAGCTGCTAGTTATCAACTAACATTAATGCCGAGAGCTTTCTTTTATGAGGCTTGACTAGTCACACAGAACAGAAGAGATCTCCTGGACAGGGTGAAAGGGTGTTTTCTAACTCACTTTTCACATTGCAGAGCTTCTCGCACTGCAAAAATCAGCTCACTGCTTAGGGTCATTGCCTTTTTTCAGATTACCTCATCTGCCACTGGACAGCAGGACTAAAACCCTCCCGCGCACATAGTAACGGGTGGTTTCCTGAGGGGAACAAATGCTAGCTGGGGAATGCACTTCGTCAGGAAGCTCGTTTGGCTGAACTGGATACATATCACAGCTGGACTTTCTGGAAGAAAAAGTGCAATTCATTGGGCAAAGAAACCTTGTTGGTGAGCTCCAAGTGTTAGAAAAGCTGTGCCGACTTCCAGATGTTCTCACGGTGGCTCAGGGGGTGATGTACGGTGAGGTGCTGCTATGCTCCGGAGCAGGCACAAAGTGGGCGGGAGAGGATGAGGACTGCAGGTGAGAAGGAGGACAGACAATTGGGAAGTGAATCAAGAAGAGGAGGAGCGCCGAGATAAACTGACGGGCTCTGAGGCTGTTCCCAAAGCAGACGTGCCCTGACACCTGTCCATGGACGGCTGCAATTCCGGAGGCACGGGACTTGCAGTCCTTGTGCTATGCGCCCCTGCGCACGTGCAAAAAGCCCGCCGCAGCAGGCGTGCGTGCCTGTGAGCAGGGCAGCTCTGCACGAGGCATGCAGGGAGTCCAGCTGCATGTGCTGTGCTGCTCTGGCTCGCGTCGCCAGGCTGACTTCACCGGCGTTTCGCCTGTGGGAAGGAGGGCACGCATTCGGGCACTGTGCCCAACGGCTCCGCGTTTTTAAGACAGCCCTGGAGCGAGCTGATTTACACCAGGAGGAAACTTGCCCCCAGATGGATATAATTCATGGCTAAGCCACCTTCCTGCTGCCTCATGTCTCTGCCAGGGGAGGTTTCTTGGAGTAACAAGTTCTCAAGGCCCTTGCAGACTTTATAGCCTACGTTCAGAAGAGGACTGAGGCTGTCCAGGTTTGTTCAGGTGCCAAATGTAAAGGTTGTCTAGTCTTTGAGAGATGTTTTTTTGCAAAATATTCCCACTCCAAGAAAGAAAAGTCTCCTCTAGAACCAGACAAAACTCACTGGCAAGCATTTTGGGAAGCCGGAGGATTTGGGGGGTTTGAAGGGTTTCTGGTGTCAGCTCTCCACTCCACCAGGGGTGACTTCCCTGACGCACAGGTGACAGAAGTGAACACATCCCCACATTAGAGCAGTCCCCACTTAGCCAAAGGAGGTGGGCTTAAACAAATAACCTACACTAACTGGGGTACGAGAGCACATTTCCTTCAACT